GTCATCAAAAACGACGTTCACTTCTATCGATCGTCGACGCCATTGTTGTACATAACACAACAAAAAAAAATCGCTTCCAAAATCCTTCGAGCTGGCTTTACTACAAATTTCAAAGTTATTCTATTTCACTCCCATTTACCGAAGCAATAAATAAATAGTGCATGTACATAATACTCGCATCTATCAATAAACCAAAAAGTGTATCTACTCTGATTTAGAGCAGGCTCTCTCGAAAAGTTTCTTTTCTCACTAATTTTTTTATAAAAGTCAATCATTGTAATTTAATAATATCCAATCCTTCTCCGAACGTGCTGTAAAATTTTTCTTTCCTTGTCAACATGGTCAACGCGAGTATTGAAAAATCTGCGGTGCAAGTTGGTAAGTACTCTGCATCTCTCGCTCGCGTTTAATTATCCCTAGTCAATCGCATCAACAAGTTTATGTTCCTCTAGTTCTTCGCATAAGGCCTATTACGGAAGAGGATTTGACGAATCTACCATCTCGGTTTCAAAAAAATGTCTTATCCATTTCACCGTCGCCAAGTCAAGTCACTGTTAATGGAGAAAAGAAGCAAACCTATACTTTTGACCGCGTTTTTGGTCCAGAGACAACACAGAAGGAAATATATGACCAAACGGTGCAGAGCATGGTGGAAGAAAAGTTCATGAAGGGTAAATCTTCGTTGATAAAATTTTTCGATTGAAATTTTGGTCTCTTCATCCATTCACTCTTCTGTCACATAGGATATAACGTTACGATATTGGCTTACGGTCAAACTTCGTCTGGAAAAACCCATACCATGGGCACGGCGCACGATGATTCGTTTCAAGCTCCTGACGCAAGGGGCATAATTCCACGTTCTATGGATACTCTATTTTCACAAATAAACTCCACGAAATACAAAAATTACAAATTCTCCATAAACGTGTCATTCGTGGAAATACACAACGAAGATTTGATTGACCTGTTTGCGGAGGGAGACTTTGAGAGTAAACCTCAACTGATGATACGCGAAGACGCCAACGGGAATATCATATGCAGTGGCTTACGAGAGATTAATGTAAATAACGTTGAAGACGTTATGAAGTATGTCTTGAAAATTTATCTCTTCCATTATCGCGATAGTTATGTTTATTTTCGTGTTGATTACTTATTAATTGTTTTCTTGGTGTGTCGCCAGTTATCTCTCTCGTGGCTCATCAAGTAGACATGTGGGTACAACTGACATGAACTCAAAGTCGTCTAGGTCCCACGCAATCTTTTCGGTGACTCTCTCTCAGCAAAAATTAGATGAGGAAGGAAATGATAATATTACCATCACGAGTAAACTTCATTTTGTAGATTTGGCCGGAAGCGAGAGGGTAGGTTGTTTTGCGGTGCCACCTTACAATAAATACATCTGTCCCGACATCATTTAAAATTAAGCTTCATCTTCTTTTTCATCCTTCCGATTATACCAATGGTTTCAGCTTAAAAGGACTTCAGCAATAGGAAATCGTGTCAAGGAGGGAATATGCATTAACTCTGGTCTTCTTGCATTAGGAAATGTAATTTCCGCTCTAAGCGATCCAACAAACAATCCACACATACCATACCGGGACTCAAAACTTACTCGACTCTTACAGGATTCACTTGGTGGCAATGCTCAAACGTTGATGATTGCATGTGTGACGCCGGCAGATTACAACGTCAGCGAAACTACCAACACACTCAAATATGCTAGCAGAACTCGTAATATAAAAAACAATGCAAAAATAAATAAACAAGAATCCGGTTGGCAAGATATCGATTATCTACAACGGTCAGTCTTGAAACTTCGTGCTGAAATTAAGGCACTTAGAACTTCTAATGGAGTCACGGGATCCGGAAGGAACACACCAATGTCTGAAACAAATGAACTCGATCGATCGCTGTCCCCATTAAGTATGATTCCCGACTTGTATTCAATTCCGGAAAAGGACCAGGATGTTTTGGAACTAGAAGAAAAACTGTTAGAACTTAAAAACTCTTATGCTGAACTCAACGGCAAACATTCAAAAGCCTTCAAAGATCTGGAGGTTTTAAAGAATAACATTGTTGATGGAAGTTTCGATGCTTCGTTGAACGGAGAACCAGACCCTCAACACTTTAACTCAGTGAAGGACGTGAATAAAGTTCAGGAGTCTATCAAACCGATAATGGCAAAGTACGACGAGACCATAGGTGGACTTGAAAAAGATCTCATTGATACTCGTAAAGCTACAAGCAACATGGAAAAGTTGATGAAAGAGCAGGAATCAAAAGTATCGGAAGCAGAACAAGATTTGAAAAGAAACGTAAAATTGATAGATGATTTAAAGCGCACCATTCAAAATTACAATGAACGAAGCGAAACTACCGATGAATACATCAAAGATCTCGAAGCACGGCTGAATTCGAGTTCGGACGACAAAAAGAAGAATCAGGAAATGATCAATGAACTCGAAGGGATAGTGAATCAAATTAGTGCTGATGAAGAGAAAAACGATCTTTTAATCCAGAATCTGGAGGCACAATTGAAATTAAGTGATTCCAATTATTCCGAAATAAATAAGACGGCTCAAAGTTTGGAGAAAGCTTTGCATGACGCTGCTGACGCCTATGTCAAACTTGAGGAAAAGTATAAAAAAGAAAAAACTAGTGAGGAAGAAGATCGTACTCTGTGGTTGGAAGAAATTAAGGATCGTGATGAAAGAATTGTACAACTTCTGAATAAAGTTGAGAATCTTATTAACGAAATTGCTCAAACGAAAAAACTTAAAGAGGAAGCTGTTAAATTTCCTTTAAATCAGCAATCATCACCTCCCCAATCCTCGCCAATTCTCGACTCACATTCTAAACGAATGACCGTGGATTATTCCAGAGTTTCTTATCTGGAGTCTCAGATATATGGACTTCAGAAGGTCCATGAGGATGTCATTTCAGAGTTTCTTGAAATCAAACAGAGATATCAATATTGTCAGGATGAAGCTAATGATCTTCGCGCAAAGCTGCAAAGAAATTCATCAGACGAATATCAAACGGATCATGAGGTCACGACTTCCCGTTCGTCTCACCGAAAGTCTAGGTCAATGAGAACCGATGGTAAATTACTGGCTATGGAGATGATTCAAAAGATCCAAGTCGAAATTCGACAATTAGAAATGTGTCATTCCGAAAAATCCCGAGGATTAGATGCTATCAAAAAAGAATTCGCACGATTGGAAATCTCCCATCGTGATACTTTGGAAATTATGGAAGAGCTTCGTGAAGAAATAAAAAGAAGAGATGGAATGGCGCAGGTGGAGGTTATGTCTGTGATGACAGCTTCGGAATGTGGTTATGTCGACGATGATCATTCTGTGGTCAATAGCGATGTCGATATGCAGGAAATTGTTAGTCGACTGAGAGAAGAGGTCGAGCAGCTCAAGGGTGAACAAAAGAGACTCTTGGATATTCTATCCGATAACCAGAATGGACACAAAGGTGATCAAGTCCTGGAGATCGAGTCGCAAATCAATCAACTTAAAATTGAAATGAGTCAAGCGATTTCAGAAAGGGAAAAACTGATGGATGAGGATTCCGCAAACCAAATTCGATCCACGATCATGGTACTTGAAGATCAGCTCATCAAAAAATTTGAGGCCAAAAGAAAAGCGCAAGTCGCCGAGGCGGTTTCCTGTCTTGGTGATGATTCATCGTATCCAACAGAATTTGATGACAAGATGTTGGAGATTAGACAACAAATCAATAAATTAGACCTAGAGATTGAGTCCAAAAGTCACACCATTGCTGCGCTATTGTTTCCTTCTATCGAACATCAAAATGTGGTTAATAAACTTGAGGACGAACTTTTCGATGTAAAAGAATCTTATCAACTCGCACTCGCGACGAAAAATCGAATTTTGAACTCAAATCCCGGGGAATCGGTGAACATCGAAATTGACGAAAAGAGGCTAAAAGAGATGGAAGAAAAAGTTCATGAACTCGAAATCCAACTTAACGCAGCTAAAGAAACTTCAGATATCCCTACGCCAAGACGAAATTCATTAATGCTTCTTTTGGACACTCCAACTCATAAGATAATGAACGGACTAGAAGTGCAGCTATCAAATTTACAGTCTAAGCTCAAATCAGAAGAAGATTCGCAGGACGAACAAGGAATTGTTACCTTTTTCCAGGATCAATTGGAGTCTCTTAAGACGGCCCTCCAACAAAAGAGTGAGCTCATCGATTTACTGAAAGAAGACTTGGAAGAAAAAAATCCGCTCCGACAAAGGTTGAGAGAAAAAGAAGCCGAAGCATTGTCATATCGTACCAAGCTCATGGAAATTCACAACAAAGACACCGAATTGCAAAATGAAATGGAAGAACTTCGTTCTTGGCTCCAAAAACTTGAAAGCGGAGAGAATTTGAACAAGGTTATCGAGTCAGAGCTACAAAATTTGAAGAGAGAGCTCATTCAGGCACGCAGTAGGGAAACCGCTACTTTAGAACGATTGAAATCTCTCAAAAACAGTACAGTTTCCACCGTTGAAGAAGCACACCTTCAGGAACAAATTGAGAAATTACGCAGTATAGAAGTCGCACAACGAGAACACATAAACGCCTTGGAAAGTAGACTTGTCGAAAGAGGTGATCAGATCGGAGATGACCTCATGAAACTCAAAATTGAATTGGGCATATCGGAGAAATCTCTGGAAACTCAGAAAAGCATCATTGAGAGTCTCGAGGAAAAGTTAAGGAATGCCGAAGATAAAACACAAATAGCGACCATCAAACAAGAGATCAATGACTTGAAAACGAGGGAAACGGAAAACTTGTACAAAATTCGGTTACTGGAAGATCAACTACGTGAATCTGATTCCAAGAGCTTGCAGCAAATTGAAAAACTGAATGAAGAAATTGAAAAATTACGGGATGAACGCGAAGAACAAAAACAGCTTAATTTCCTTCAAAATAGACTAGAGTTGATCCAAGATGAGAATCCAGACATTGATGCTTTGAAGGCTCTCATTGATAAATTGAAAATATTCGAGTCCGAATTGCAAAAGACATTACAAGACTTGGAAACAAAGTATGTAACCGTTCAAAAGGAAGTCAAGATCAAGGGAATGATAAAGGAAGAGCTGAAATTTTTAAAAGAACTAGATTTTGGTCATAAATCTACGATCGAACAGTTAAGGTCACAAATTGAAAAAATTACCAAATCAAAGGACATCGCAGTTAAAGAGCTTTCAACGATCAAAGGTGGATTTAATCTTCAGGTAGAACTAGTTAATTCTCTTAAAGAAGAAGTGAAAAACTTGAGACAAGAGCTAGTATCAGTGAAGTATGACACGACGTTGTCAACAGAAGAATTTGACAAAGCTTCCGAATCTTTGGACAATACCCGAAAACAATACGATAACGCTTTGAAACGCATCAAGGAATTGGAAACTGAACTTGAAACGTGTGAGGGTGATGGAACAACGAAAGATGAAAAAACTGAGGCTATTCGATCTGAATTGATAAGCGCGAAACTTGGGATCGTTAAACAAAATGAATTATTGGTTGAATATGAAACTCAGATGAAGACTTTTAAAGAAGAACAGGTTCAACGCACAGAACGTACAGTGGAACTAACTCGTATGCTCGAAGGTCGAGAGATAAACCAGAAGGACGTCATCAAAAAACTTGAATCAACAGCAGCTGACTTGGAAAAGGAACTTTTAATGATTAGCTCATCAAATATGGACAACGAAAAAATTTCAAAATTCAAGGAAATAATTGACATCGTAAAAACACAACTTGAAGAAGCCAAATTCACAGACGAAAAGCGAGTCACGTTAATTCATAAATTTGAAAGTAACTTAAAGGAACTCACCAAGACCATATTATCCAACGAGCCGAAAATTAGAAACGAAGACGATCTCATCTCGGAATTGGATGGTATCATACAACAAGCTGAATGTGAACTTGAAATGTCGCAAACATCTGAACCGAATCTTACTGGACGCATAAGAAAATTAGAGTCTCAGTTAATGGAGGTCATTTCAAAACAAAATTCGACATCATCCGAGAACATCGAATTTTACCAAGCCGAGCTTGAAAAAGCAAAAGCTTCTACAATCGAAAGTCGAAAAAAGATCAAGGAGCTAAAAACCAAGATCCGAAATGCAAAAACACGTCGCGATGCAGAACATAAAGGGTTAAAACTGGCTAATGACCAAGCATACTCGATAAAAGAAGAATGTACGCGGATGCAGAATGAAATTGATGACGCAAAATATAATTCTGTTCTCGATTGTTACAACAGCAATGATGATCCTACGGTTCAACAACTTATATGTCAAATTAAGCAAGAGCATAGCAATATTAAAGCGCAAAAAATTAGAATCGCAGAGATAGAAAAGTCTAATCATTACCTGGAATCGGATAAAATTATGCAAATCGAGCACAATGATGATCTCGAGGAAGAGCTGGATCAACTTCAAAAGGACATTGAGACTTTGTCGGATGAGTTTGCGGACGAAGCGTCCAAATTTGAAGACGTCGATAGACTGTCCAAACAACAAAAACTTCGTATTGCAGAATTAGAGGCGTCCTTGGAAGAAACCAGGAAATTAAATCTTGAAATACAATCGGGAGAATCGACAGATCCAACGATCAACAAACTTTTGATTGCAAATAAAGAATTGCAACAGACCTACGAAAATTTGAATTCAAAAATAGTTGATTCCGAAAAAATGACTTCTTCGCTTTCCGACAGAATCAAAACATTGGAAAATGAAATAGTTCGTATTGGAGACAGCAATGAATCGCTGACCAAAAATTTAAGGGTACAAATCAAAGAACTTGAATTTGAGAGAGAACATTTGAATAGTGCGAATAGAATTATACTGGAAGAACGTGAAGTACTTGATAAAAGGATTGCATTCCTAAGAGAACAATTGCGAATGACCGGTTCCGATGAGACGCAAATCGTAAAGCTGAATGATTTAGTTGACACTTTGGAAAAGAAAGTATCATCTTTTAAGCAAGATTCGGCTGACAGGTCCGAGTCTTTGGAACAAGAATTTGTTCGATTACTAGAAGCTAATGATCGTCTTGAGCAAGAGTATAAAAACTCTTCACAGAAAACCGATGACGACTCAAACCCTTCTACACGATCTGCTGCCATTATAAACAATGAAGCCATTACAGAGAACGATGATATCATCAAGAGCCTTAAAGAAAAGCTTTCTCGACTGGAATCACAATATGCGGATAATCATGCAGAACAAAATCGTCTTTCTGTAGCTTCCAACTCATCGAAAAAGAGTGTGCACCCTAAAAACGGAAATAATGATTCTTCTCGACCTTCTACGCCGTCGTCAATTACCCCATTATCACCACGACCTGGCGATTTGCAAAAAGCAAATATTCCTAATCCACCATCACCAAGAACTGGACATTCAAGGATAAACACACCAACTTCCCCGCTCGCTCCGAAGTCAAGGAGAGGTCGATCAGAATCCAACGTGACAAGCTCCGGGGAATTTTCACAGGAGATGCAAAATCTTCAGATGAAGATTTCAAAGATTGATAATGATAATATGGAGTATAAAAGTCATGCCGAGGCTCTAGAAGCCAACATACAAGAAAGCGGTCTTAATTTGAGAGTGGCATGCGACCAATTATCGATACTACAGAAAGAAAAACAAGAATTTATTGAAACAATCAAAAGCTTAAAGTCGAAGTTAGAAGAAACCCAATTACAACTTGAAACAGCGAAAAATACCGTTGAAGTGGAGCATCGGGCATTGAAAATTATAGTAGAGGAGGAGAAGAAAGCCAAGCTTAAAGCTGAAAGGGCGAGAAATCAGCTTGAAAATCAAATGGAGCAACTTACGAATAAGAAAAAGAGATTCATGTGTTTTTAATCAACTCATTTTATTGTAATCTTTCAAGGACTTTTTATTTATGGAATTTAATATTCCACTTGTACATGTTATGTTTACATTTATTTAATGTATAATTTACTGGGATTTTTATTTATTATTTATTGTCATTGCAATCTGTGAAAATGATTACATAATAATCTAAAACAATAAACTGACTGTCAATTAATTTATTAAACCAAATTATTTGTCAAGTGAAAAGTCGAGAAAAAAATTATCAAGGTGACACGCTTCAGAATTTATTTGTAAATCAGAAATTTGACGCACTATTATTATTTTGCTTTTGTACATATTTCATTAATGCAACTATACTCGCCGGTGTCATTCCTTCTATTCTTTTTGCCGCCCCCTTTATAAAAATAATTAACAGATTAACAATGCAAAGAATCACAACAGAATTTTCAAATAAATAAATATTAGCCATACTTACCAACGTGTTGGGCTTAATTAGTTTAAGCTTATATCTGATTTCTTTCGATAGATTGGTTACCCTGCGATTGTATGTTTGTTTGTTGATGAATTTAGAGACATTCCGTTAGTAAAAAATAATATTTACAAGAAATTTTATTAAATATTTACGTGTCGTAGTTCAGATTTTCGGGTATTAACATTCTTTCATCTTTCTTAAACGCCTGTACTTCGTGTTCTTGTTTTTCCAGATATTCCTTATATATCGCTATGGATAAGTAATGATGATGACAATGAAGAAGTGAAATCAAAACCAGTAAAGATGTCGTCAATATGGATCAGATGTTCATGGAAGTTGAAATACCTTCAATAACCAACCTATGGCGCACGGATTTCTTGATTTGAGATAGTTCAGGGATAACATGGATTAAATCATCAATAGTCATATTACGAGACCCGATTATATCAATGGCACTATTTAACGAACAAAACGTTTATAGTATTCAGTTATATTAAAAAGAAATACAATATGGATCAGATTACCTCCTAACGACACCATCAAAACCAACATTAATTCCCATGGCATTCCATTTTTGTGGTGAGAAAGAAAATTTTCGAAGTAGTTCGGTGCCTTTAAGAATTTGCTCTTCGATTTCCTGATAACATTTCCATCGGTGTTCGGACACGCATCCTGCTTCATTACCTAACGATACGTGTTCACACTTAACCTAATAATCGATCATATTAATGACATTATAAATAGTCTTTAATAATGCTACCTTTTCGCGTCAATCGTACATCAGCGTTATCAGCTCTAAGCGATAATCTATACTCTGAACGGGACGTAAACATTCGATAAGGTTCCTCGACCCCTTTTGTTGTTAAATCATCTATCAGGACTCCAATGTATGCGTCCGAACGATCAATTATGAATGATGATTTGTCCTGAGTTGCTCGACCGGCATTAATGCCAGCAACAATCCCCTTGAAGATTTACGATGACGATTATTAGATAATATTCTAGGACTAAACGCGAACTTAAACAATAGGTAATATTCACACACCTGTGCAGCAGCTTCTTCATAACCAGTGGTTCCATTAATTTGTCCCGCCAAATATAAACCTTTAACACGATGGGTTTCCAGTGTCGGTTTTAATTCTCGTGGGTCCACATGATCATATTCCACACCATATCCTGACAGATTAAACGGTCAAACAACATGAGAAAACTGAATGATTTGCTAGAAATGGATGAATAGAGCATTACCTGGCCTCAACATTGTTACGTTTTCCAATCCTTCAATCGTTCTAAGCATTTCATATTGAATGGATTCGGGTAACGTCACGGATATTCCATTTGGATATACCACATGAGTATCAAGACCTTTTTATTTATTTATTTTTTTTTTTGGACAAAACAATTAAAATTTAATGTTATGCTTTCAGACATATGATAAAATCAATACCTTCCGGCTCAAGCCATATGATATGACTTTGTTTCTCGGTGAATCTTATGACCTTTGATTCAATTGATGGACAATACCTTTTCCAAATACGAGATAAGTAATATAAATAACATTAAAAAAAAACATTTACAAAAATTTTCCGATTACACTTACCTCGGTCCCTTTACAGTCTCCCGAATATGAATGCTCTGAGATAGATTATCTTTAATGATTTTATGCGTATCAAGATTTGTCCTTGTCTGATGACAGACAACTTGATTTGACTAAAATTGCGAAATAAAATATGAGCAAACCCACTAATGACGAATTAGATATTTAAAAATTCATAAATTTGTAATACCTCATGAGGGACAGAAGTATGAATAAAAGAGAATGGCGTGGCGGGTACATCGCCAACTTGAACTTTTAAATTTGAATAATTTATGGTCCTCCCGTCTAATCTTGGTGGTGTTCCTAAAATAATAATAATGTCTTTAGACTCAGCAATTTTATTTCATTCAGTAAAACAAGGTATGACGAAAATACCTGTTTTCAATCTCCCAAGTTTAAACCCCAATAATTCTAAAGTTTTAGAAAGCCCTATCGACGGAGCCTCTTCAAACCTTCCTGCAGGATAAACCACCCTTCCTAATTTGTAATTACAATTTATTTCATCTTTATTTATTATTATTATTATTATTATTATTATTATTGGGGGGCATTTCTTTTGTGTAATTAATCACAAAATAAAAATTCACCAGTTACCAATATGTATTTCACCCTGGAGAAAGGTGCCAGTAGTAAGAATCACTTTGGGAGCATGTATTATCTCCCCAGTATCTAAATTATACTCAATATTAATGGAGTCTTGATGGGAAAGTTAAAAATGAATTTCTAATTCAAAGGGTTCTTTGAAAGGATTTCACACCTAACTTGATTCCTTGGACTTCTCCAGATACTTGCTGGTCATCTCCGAGGATTGATGGGTTATATATCATCGCAAGATCATGCACACTCGCCGATTTTATTGTTAAGTTAGGATAATTAAATAGACATTCTTGCATATACTTTTTATACAATTTTCTATCTATTTGTGCCCTTGGACCCTAATACAGAATAACAGACATTACTACCAAAGCAGAGGATTATTGACGTTCTGATAAACGAATTGCTTACATGCACAGCAGGACCTTTCGATCGATTTAATATGTGAAATTGTATACCCGCTAAATCTACGAAAAAACCAACAATCAGATTCCGACTATAACTAACCTAAAAATCCAAGTAAAAAAAGAGATGATCTTACTACGAACCGGAAATCTTTCCACATAATCCATCCAATGCATCAATTTCTCTAATCAATATTCCTTTACCAATACCTCCAAAAGATGGGTTGCATGACATTTCACCTTAAATTACACGAAAAAAATTTTTTTATGTGGTGTATACTACGTCTTAAATAGTTCGCTTTTTGGTTATTGACAATTACCAATGGTATCTAGCCTTTGTGTTACTAACAAAGTTTTTGCACCTACACGGGCGGCGGCTGCACAAGCTTCGGAACCTGCGTGGCCACCACCAACAACTATAACATCATACTTTGAGCATTCAGGGTTTTTCGCAGAAATTGACACAAAATTTCTCTTGACAACTTGAATTTGAAATGGTGCTCTCCTATCTGTTTTAAAGCTCCCTTCATTATTTGTTTGAATGATATTGCATTTTTGGATTTTTGAATCTTTACAAGTGTTAAAATGTTTTTTACTATTGATTTTTGAAAATTTCGATGACAAATACGAATCTAAAAAATTATGTTTTTTGGAAGATAAAGAAAATTTGGGAAAACTTGAACTATTGGAAAGGAAGTGCCGAATTGATGATGATCGAAAATCGATTAGAAATTGCATTCTGAATTAGCAGTTTAAAAAAGAAACAATTTGTCCCAGAAATTTAACCAGATAATCTTTTGTGCACATTGAATTCACGTGAAATTTTACTGTAATTTGAAGTCACTCGATCCCGTAACTTTTTCTAATTTTCGAAATCATTTGGACAACTTTGCGTTCCACAGCAATCTTGGTTCTATGTGGAAATTGTTGAGCAAGTGTCGAGATCGAGTGTGGGCGTTGTAGGATATTTGAAACTATTATTTTGGTTTCCTTAAAAATAATATTACAGTTCATAAATAGGAATCCTCACAATAACGACGAATTAATGTGAATGTGAGTGTGACCTTATATTGAACTTACCTCTTGACTCCAGCTCTTTAACGGAATCTTCTTGGTCCTTTCAATTTCACCCTTCGTCTCCATTCCCCCAACAATCTTATCGGCTGCGTCTACACGAGTTCGTTTAGCCTTTATTAACTCATCATTTCGGTTAACCTCAAGCTTCACAGTATCGCTTCCCTCATTTTTATCATCATCATCCGATTTCTCGCTCCGCGCAGATGATGCAAGTTTCATTTGTTCGTAATTTCGTTTTTTATCTGTTTGCCTTCGATAATTTTGCCGCTGGATTTTTGGTCTCCTCCCTGCATGCACCGACTCACATTGATTGTCATCGGATTCAACAAAAGGAAGCTCATTGTCTTCTTTGACCGCGGTTTTTCCACGGAGCTTTGCACCATTAGACATTAGGACAAATCAAGTGTTTGATTATACGCACCGAAGGAAAGGAAATCCGAGATTTTCTTAAAACAAGTGATGCAAGCCATGACACAAGGTTGTCTCATTAAAGATTTAAATGTAACATTGACGTCTATCCATTAAAGCCGAATTTTGTAATTATAATAAAGTCTATTTGATGAAATCACGTCTTTGAAGACCAGTCTAAATTGATTTTGAAATTATGACTTTGATCTATGTTAAATACAGTATCTTCGTTGGTTAATCAATAATCGTAATCATTATTACGATAATAAACTAAACATCGAAATTTAACATTTAACCATTACCTAAATCTTTTGAAACAAAGATGCCATCTCACTTGGAATTTTACGATTTTTTATAATTCAAATAATCAAGATATACAGTAGATTATATATACATATGATATAAAATAGAACATCTTAAAAAATATTTTTCTATCATAATAACATAACAATGTGTTTTAAAAAAAGAAATTGGTTTACTATTTTTGTTCATTAATTTAATACTAATATTTTATTATGACTTTTAATCTAATAAAAAAAATCGTGTTTTTGCAAGTTCAAGAATTCAAGTATTTATTTATTTAAATCTTGTAAAAGAATATCTATGATTTTATCAATTAATATACAATATATTTATACTGTATGTACTGTATATTTATTTATTTAAGAATATTTATTATAAGAAAAAAAATTTTCTTTTTATAAATAAAATATATAGTATATACAGTATAATTTAGAATTGATTTTAAAATAAAAAAAAATGTTTTAAAAAAATATAAAATTATAAAACACAGTATAATACACTGTATATACGTATATACTGTATATATTGTAATTTTTTTTTTTTTATAAAGTAAAAATGCTATTTTCTATATTACACATTATGCATGACATATTTTACTTTGAATATATTTTATTGTAATGTGTAATTAACGACTTTTAATTAATTAGCAATATTTTTATGTTTTTTAAAATCACTATGCTTTAACTAAAAAAAAAAAGTGAATGGATTTTTTGATAATTTAAAAAATCATTGTACTATTACTACCGTTATCGTTATGAAAATGTAAAAACTTGCTTACTTGAAATGTTCAATTTTATTTTATTGTTAATAAGAAATCATTAACTGCATATATTTATTTTTCGTTAAATAGTAATACGGTCCGGTTTTACCTTATTTAATATACTGTATATATACAGTATATATATTTGCCACCAAACTGATGACGAGTTCAAAATAATAGAATGATAGAATGATGGTTCTATGTTCTTATGGTTTTTAAGTATGATTCTGAGTCCAATATAAATATATACATACATACATACATACACACATGCGTATATAATTATTTATTATTATGTTTTATTAATCATGTTAACATTTGTGTTCGACCAATAAGGAAATCATTAACAACTGAAATTGGAAACTCATTACGTTCTGTCCATTTAACATTTTTTGAATAAAGAAGCTTTTTCAACCATGCATAAAGAAATTTCTCAATAATGATAAGAAACCAATACGATGATTTTATCTGGGTTCAAGCAAGCAAATTATTCATTAAAAAAAAAAAAAGAGAGAGAAACTTGATGGATAGATAAACTCAGTCGATCATTAGGTTTTTGATTCTCGGGTCAAAAAGTTGCAATCAAAGGCAATCAAAAAGCTGCAGCAATAAAAAAGTTGAAAGCATTTAAGCTAATAGTACGAGAATGGCAAGATGTACGATTATGATTATCCGTTTGTCCTGTGACATTCAATAGAGAAATTTAGAGTATGTGGACTATACAAGGAAAAATTGCGTATTGCCCCTTATTCAGCGGTTCCACTGAACATTGTCCTTGACCTGATCATCGCATCACGCGAAATTTTTATTTCGGTCTGAAGACGTGATAACCATTTTTCATTTCAGATTGTCTATCCTCATCTACGACACACGTTCTCTTATGTATTTGGTCATGCCACACATTCTAAAATTCTACATTCGGTGTCTTATACGCAAATCCGTAACTTTAAGATGGAGGGAAAAATGGCTTCGCATTAGGACAATATTTAACGTATGTATTAATAATTTATTTCGTGATACAAATCATTATTTTCCAAATGGGGTAGACAAACAAAAATTTTCCAGATTTAGAATTTTTCTCGTCAAATAAGATCATTTTCGTTATCTTCATCCCTGGATGTTTGGGGGGTAATTGGTGCAATGTAGATACACACAGTACACTTCAACCACAAATATTACCGAATCGTAAAGGAAAGCAAAATGAACTCATCCAGTACCCCTTACATAAAAAAGTCAACGTGATTGGCGCAGGCCACTGTATCTAAATGTTAAAACGAACTTTGCTCTAAAGCGTTGCAAGAAGTTTCTTGATTCTTACCTCAATATTCTCATAGTATTGATCACAGTACGCAAAGGTTAGATATATTTACCATGTTTTCATTGATGTACCAACGTTGCACGAATCGACTCGGCATCGCATCGTAATCACAATTTGTCTGATTAACTAAATTGGAAAACTAGAAACTTCATCAGTCATCTTGTCAATACACGCATGTAATAATATTATTTTAATCGCAAGATTACTAGGTAATCAAAATTAAAGTTGCCAAATAGTATCAAGAACACAAACAGCGATAAAAAAAAAAAATGGTACAAAATGAAGTTCAGTGTGTACACGCAATAATTACACAAATTAATTGGCATTACGCAAAGAAAAAAGGTTATAAATACTGATTTCTTGGGAGAACTCAAACTAAATACCAAATTCAAAATAATTTTGTTTTTGGTAAATTCTGACGCTTTTTTAGTTACAATTTTGCTCTTACAACTTTCCTTCTTTTCGTTCTTTTATACGATCTCCTTATTTATCTACCTCATACACGTCAATAAACTCCCCTATTTAATCCTTCTTTTTACGACTATCCTCCCCTGTTTTTCTGACAACAACTGGTGAACGTGTGACCTGAAGCATAATTCATTAATTACAAGCAAGACTTATTTATTGAGATCGATCATCTAGTTGTTTTTCCTTCCTCCTGAACCTTCTTCCTCTTCTTAAATCTCTCTTGTCTTTGCTTCACTTTGGCCGTGAATAATTGAATAATGGCATACAAAGAAAAACCCCTTTATTTCCAAGTGCTAAAGTGGATGCAGTTCACATTCACGTTTTTAGTGTTTATCTTAGAAATGACCGAGTTTGGTGCCTGCTTGAATTACATCGGTAAAATGGATGAATATGAAAATCCTCCGGCTCCGAATCCGTTCTTGATTTTTGATTCGTAAGCTTTTCCTTCTTGAGCGATCCTAACCAGGAATCTTAATACTGACCTATAAAACTATTCAAATATATAGAGGAAGTCGATGGGCAAAAAGATATGTGTACCTGGTATTCTCCATCAGTATTTTCAGCGTTTGTAAGTTTCACTTTTCCAAACAGAAGCCTGGTTGGGTTGACTTACATGTGACTTAATCTCGTTTCTCACTTCTTACATCATCTCATTTCTCACTTCTTACATCATCTCATTTCTCACTTCTTACATCATCTCATTTCTCACTTCTTAACCCTTCTTTTTTTTTTAAAAGCTTTCTATCTTGCAAAGTTTCAAGGCGCATGGACAGAGAAAAATGGTCCTTACTTTTTGTTTGAATTGTACGTACCTTGCATTATTCTTCGTATATCGATTTTACTTGATGCTAATTTTTCGCACCGTTTAACCATTAGATCACTGTTGATATTATGGATTTCTGAATGTGAGTCAAAACGCAATGACATTTTCCCGAAGAGACCTATATTTTTATACTAACCCTTTTCTTGCTATCATTATTTTATTTTGTCGTACTTCTTCTAGCTTTCACAAACCTCTACGATATCTTCAACAATGCTCCATCAAACTATACCTCTTATCTTAACCAAAGATCCACCACAGTCCCCCAACTCCCACAAGAACCTTTGACCGCGTACGCCACCTATATCGCCTCAATCACCTTCGGTTTTCTGAATTCACTCGCCTTTATGATGTCCACCTTTATCGCCTACAAAGTGAAAAAGGAAAAGTGTTTGCCAAAAGTTCGTAATGTACGAAAGGTCAAATTGATTAAATTTGCGCAAAAGAGCGGGACAAAAGATGTTACCTTCGTTCGGACAGAATCACATTCGAGTGTTAATGAGAAGATTGTAGGATTTAAAGGTTTTGTGGAAGTTAAGATAGACGATGGGATGGGCAATGAGAAAAAGGATGAGATAAGCGACGACGATGCGACGTTGTACGATGCCTATGGAAACGGAAGTAAAGATAGAGTTTGATGATGTAGTTAGTGGCATCATCAAAATCATCATAATCATCATCATCATTTTTTTTTCTTTTACAAACGCCATTTTCTCACAATGAATTTTAAATCTGTTTCGCCTTGAATTTATGAGATTGAGGATATGTATATATTAATATTCTTACACACCTCCCTTGTACACATTATATCGACCACACCCGCTTCTATATCTAGATTGTACATTAAATACCTCTTTCTTATATTGACATTGTTATGTAATCCTTCTTATATTTGTCGCTCGATTCTCGACATTCAAGGCTCAGCACTTAACTCGCGGCATCAAAACATAATCATATATACTTGTTAATAACATCTACACAATTTAGCATTTACAGTATATAGCCTCGATAGATCATTTCTCAATTTAATTCCACTTATGCGTATCAAGAGCATTATTGTAACAGGCACATAAATATTCTCTTTTATTTCTTTAATTATTTTCTTAATCCATTTTTAAAATTTCATTATACTGCACATGTGTACAGTATATACAGTATATCACCATTCATCGTTCATCGTTCATAACATCATGCAAGCCAGCATGATTTTATTTATTGTCCATTGATGACACTCAAAAGAGTCTGCTTCAATGGAAGAACAAAATTAATAAATCATATCTTTTACATTAAAAAAAAACAACCGTTTAACTAGCTATCAGGAAAAACAAAGTACATCCTGTTATCGCAAAACGGTTTTATGTCGAAATTACATCTGATGGATTGAATTTTTTTTTTTTTTTCTATAATTCTATTTCAGTGAGTTTTATACGAAAATTATGTACATATGTATCTACATGATGAAACAGCAAAGTTGTCTATAATCGAGTTCGAACTTAAAAATACATGCTTATTAATGGTGCATAAAATCTTAAATCATGAGGTTAAATCATATAAAATCATAATAATGTATCGTCATATGGATTTCTTCGTCTCTAAATGCGCATGAGAGAATGTCCCATTCAATCTCTGAATCAATTCTAATAGAATTTTCGAGGGTCTCGTGATCATATATTATGGTATCCTTGGAATAATTTGCCGGAATGGACTCGTTATCACACCTTGGAGAAAAAGCCGGTAGGTGATAAAATATTCGACATTTGTTTCCAAACTCGTGTCCGCATGTTTCTGCTACATATCTCTTAAAAGAGTCAAAAGAAATCCCTTCGGGGATAATGACCTCGGTTGAATTTTCAAAGTCGATAAATACTTTAAATTTTAATAACTTCAGCGACGGAAATACGAGGGGGTTGAATTTTGTGTTCTTAGGTCTTAAATCATATGATTGGAGTCTCGTGAGGTTGGATTGAACCCAGTATGGTAAGCTGCCGGGAACGCTACTTGAATTTTTGGTTTCTGTGCGAGGTTTGTTGAGTTTACATGGTGAGTCTGCTTTCAAATTCGTCGAGTCCCTTTTCGTTAGGTTGAGAGGTTGGACCTGAAATTCAAGATCGGACGATTCGTAGATCGTCACGGATGATGTGATGGATTCGGTTTCTTCGTAGTCGGAGTTTTCGTAAATCGTCTGTGAATATTCGGAGGATGCATATTCTTCTTCCGCTTGATCGAACGTCTTCATCTCAGTACATTTTTGTGTGGTTTTTTTGGATGGGAGAATTTTCGCTAGTAATTTCTTTGCGGCGGTTTTAACCTTATTTTTATGTTTTTTCTCTTTGGTCATGTTTCTGATAGAAACATGATTTGTCCAAGTTTCTGAGTCGACCAAATTGGATTCGCCGACTAAGACAATTTTGGATTTTTTGATAGACGGTTGCCTTTTGATTTTCGAGACAATGGATTTAAACGACATATTTTTTTCGAGGCGAGATAAGTATTATGGAATTGGCTTTTTTTTGGTTTATAATAGAGGCTTGAGAATATCGCTGGATTTTTTTTTATTCTTTGAGAAATATTTTGAAAATTCCTTGGTCCCAACATCTGCGAATATATAGAAATTTTTCGCTTTTTCGCTTTTGTCTGGTCTCAATTGTTTTATTAAAGTTTTAACTATGATGTTAACGTGTAGCGGAAGTTTTAGAAATAACAAAAGAGCGGTTTCCGTTTAAAGAAGTTAACCTTTGTCCTCCACCAACTACGCAAGATTAACGCGCTTTCCGTGTATATTGTAACAAAAGATGTTTGTAAATCAGTAATGTGCGAAAAGGGTACCTTAACTTTTGCACAACTATCTAACATAAGAATACACCTAATTTTTGCATCATGTGTCAAATTAAAAGGTTATAATACGATTTCCATTAGATAAATGTTTGTTAGAAAGAAAGTATTATACCTCGGAAAATTCGATAATACATGCGTATGCACATATCATGTGATTCCTTTTAACACAATACGTACTTGCTCTCCTCACAAGAATACTATGCCAGAAGCTTAAGCATAATACGCAAGTGATGCTTGCAAAATACTGAATTCCCTTCGTATTATAAATCATCTTACTATCAGCTAATGTTGAATACATAGTATTCTTTTCATCCTAATGAATGAGTGCTTTACATGAAATCACATGACACTAAACGAAAAAGTTAAACAAAAATTACGTACCGCTAACATAAATGGTTCATATGATAATTGAAAAAAAACGAATATTTCAAATATTCAAATACCCTCTAATAATGAAGTCTTTATTTTTGTCATAAATCCAAAACCCTTGTCAATTCTATTTAGAAGACATCTATTTAATTAAAATTTCGCTTTTCTCGTAATCTTTAATAAATGATCCTGTTAAAATATTAACATGGTGATAATAATAGTTATAGACAGCACTTTTCTAATTTTTCGTTCACTAGTCTAAATCATATGTCAAATTATAACCAATTTAACAAATCTATTAATAAAAATATATGATGAGGTTTTACTGTATGATTCAATTTACACCATTTAAATATTTATAAAATTTATATCATCGTATTAAAATTTAACAGATAACCATTAATCATGCTAATTTAATCACAATTACAGTATTTGACATTATATAACTTGGTAAAATTAAAATTTTTAAAAAATTTATTTATAATAATATTTAGAATGTTGCACTTAATACTTGATAAATAATTACTCTTGTTGATTTATATAATTAAATTCCTTCAAATTTGAATACTTTTTTTAAAAAAATTTTTTAATATAGTAGAATGGCATTAGATGCAAATCTTTGTTGATATAAGTACTCAAATTGTTATTATATCAAACATCCTTTATAATATTAAACTATAACTAAATGCTAATCTATCTATTTTATCACCGATCAATATGATATGTACTTAACAAGTAAATCAAATTTTTTGAAAAAAATCCATTTAAAAAAATAATAATCCTATTACTTGTTTTAAACTATTTTAATCTAATAATTTGATTTCTAAAAAAATAATAGTTGGTTACTGTTGATTATTTATATAAGTATTTTATCACATTATATCTTTATCTTATACAACAATATAACAAAAAATACTTTAATATTAATATATACTTTCTAGTAAATATTTTGTATTCATATTCTTTAATTAATTACTACTATTAAATCCAAGAATTTTTGTAATCAAATAAAATATAACTTTTAATTTCTTAATAAATATTTCAAAAGAACTGATAAACTTAAAACTATCAAATATAAGAATATAAATATTAAGTAAAGTAAAACTTTTATATATACAATAAGTTATTGGGCAATTATAATACTATATATAAATATAAATATTTAAATAATGCTTTTTTAAAAACTTATTTATTTAAGACTTATGAATCTATAATATAATGGTAATACTCTATAGATTATTAAAAGAAAATTTAGAATTCAAATTCATCTGGTTACAAAAAGTTTGTTACTTTTATGATTGTTTAATTGGCTTTCAATACATGTTATACTCAATTAAACAAAAATTAATATCAAACTTAGTTAGGCTATATAAAGATAAGACCTCAGATTTTTCTGATAATTACAAGCTGAAAACAAGTTGAAGCAAGAAAGGTTGTATAAGAAAAGATTTCTGATTCAACTTTTATAATAAGTCTACAAACCCTTTAACATAACAGACTTTATAATATAACTAAAAAAAATATTAATTTTAAACTAATCTATTTTAATCTGAAACTTATATATTAATTCTAAAGTAATGTTTTACAGAACTTAATTATATGATTAAAGGGTAAGATATTAGTTATAAATAATAAAAAAACTAGATAAAAATTATTAAGTCAAGTGCATCTAGTAAGAATCTATAAAATTAAATCAGAATTTAAACAAGAATATCAGATCCACAAGTAATAAAAATAGTAATATCATGTTATGCTAGTAATACATTTTAAGAACTGGTAATAATAGTAACTGGAATATTGAAACTCATTTTTATAATAATATTTCTTATAATCTTATCTAGTAGGCAGTTGAGTAAATTTAAATTGGTAGTAGAGTTTTTTTCTTCTATATAAGTTTCATCTAAATACAGACCTATTTATCATTAGTCCAAATTAGGTTATTTGGCTATTAAATTACAACCAATTAAATTTAAATTTGTTAATAGAAATTTATATTAAAGTTTTGTTATTTGGTTCAATTTATGCCATTCAGCACTTAAAAAATATATAATAATTTGGCAAAAATATATATATAATATTTAGCAAAAAATAATTATTCAACAATAAAATCATTTGGCAATAAAATCATTTAACAATAAAATCACTTGTCAATAAAATCATTTAACAATAAAGTTACAATATTCTGTAATAAAAATTATAGTATTCAAAATAAATTTTTATTATTTAATTATAAAGTTGACAAAATTATTTAACATTATATACTTTGGTAAAATCAAATTAATATTTTCAATAAAAAAATTATATTTATAATAATGTTCAGCAAAATTTAATACTTGATAAATTTATTAAAAATATAAAAAATACAGTATATAATTTAAAATAATTATTTGTTAATTATTTATTAATTATTCACTTATCTTTTGTTAATTATTTACTAATTAATTATTTGGTAATTGTTTGCTTATTATTTACTAATTATTTGTTTATTATTCACTAAATTTTTTCTTTGTTTTTTTATTTAAATCCTTTTGCTTATATTTGTTTGTTTTTTTATTAATTTTGCCATAATTTTTGTAACTCTCAAAGATTTTATAATATCAAATTTTCTTTGTTTTAAAATACTTTTTTTTCATGATTTTTTTTTAATTTTTTCTTTTAATATTGCTTTTCAAATTTTGCCTATTCATATACTTTTTTCAGTTTAATACTTCTCTTTCTTTAAATATATAAGTGATTTCTTATAATTGGAAATCCTTTATCTTTTATATTTTTTTGTTAAATGTTTATCTTTTTTACTTTGTTCTATTTCTTACTCTTCATTCACCAATTTATAAGTCCAACTCAACAAGTTTTCTGATAAAATTATATTGTAACAATAAGATTAACTATAGTTTTACTTATAAGTCGATTGAAATGATTAAATCAACTTTGAATATTTACCTAAATTTTTTAATAAATCTTTTAACTATAAAATAATTAGTAATAAATTAATTATTTGACATAAAATTATTTATTAAAAAATATCTTATTAGAATGTCAACTATAGTCATATATATTTATTCTTTTCTTATTATAATTTTTAAATCAGTTTCACTTTTTTCAATCAAATAGACTCTTGATTTTTTAACCATATTAATTAATTTCTTCTGATATTTTATAATACTCTTGAACTTTTTGTTAATAAGTGACTGTACACTTTTGATTCTTCATGCTCTTTTCTTTATTATTCAGTAAAGTAATATAATATAAATATTAATTAATTTTATCTTATTTAATTGATTAATTACATATAAGTAATAATTGTTTACATCTAGTTTTTCTGTTTGTGTCTTTTGATATCCTCCTCCTAAATAATGATATAAATCACCTAATTAATTATTTGGCTGCTTTTATAATACTATAGATTAAAATATGGAGCCATTAATTTTAATAATTCTAATATTAACTTATTTAATATTTTTTTATTTACATTACTTGAAAAAACTTTATTTACCTTTAGTTAAAATTCTTTAAAAATAGGTTTTATCAGAACCTTCACTTTGGCTCTTGTCTTCTTTTTTTTTTATTTTTAGAAACAGTTTCTAAAGATTTGTTTATTTTATTACTTTACTCTTTTTAACACCTTTACCTTTTTTTAGAATTAAATTCTTTGGCTCTTTAATATATTTGGCATATTTTTGAAATCTAAAATTATATATTCAGCTTTAGGCATAGATTTGAATTGGTATTCAGGTTTGGATTAATTTTAAGATTCAGATACTACTTTTGTAATTTTTACAACTATTATTGACTGTAATGCCAATTTATACAATTTTAGTTATTTTTTTTTTTAATGTTAAGGTGAGACATGTCTCATTATCTTTATTAATACGTAATTATTATTATTACATGGTTAATTTTAAGATATGAG